CAGATGTTGAAAAACTGAATCTCAACAAAAAAGTTATTGCATTTTAAAATAAAAATACATTAGCAAAATTAAAATGTATATACTTCTGTAAGCAAAAATGTTGACGAGCTTACTGCACTTAGACCAAAAATATTGATATATTTACTTAAAACTACATGAATCGAATTTCTGTGAATCTTTATTTTACTGTTAAGAGCTATAATTTCTATTTGTTAAAAAAATTTATTTTTTATTTTATGTTTATGAGTGTATTGCCTGCATGTGTGTAAGTGTACCCATGTCATCCAATGCCCACAGAGGTCAGAAGATGGCAACAGATCCCCTGGAACTGGAGTTAGAGATGGTTGTTAGCCACCATGTGGGTGCTGGGATTCGAACCTGGGTCTTCTGCAAGATCAGCCAGTGCTCTTAACCACTGAGCCATCTCTCCAGCCCCAGTTTTCTCCTAATTTTTTTAAACTTTTTTTTTTTGGTCTTTTTGAGACAAGGTCTCCCTGTAGCCCCAGCTGGCCTGGAACTCACTATGTAGACCAGCCTGGCCTCAAACTCAAAACAATCCGCCTGCCTCTGCCTCCCAAGTGCTGGGATTAAAGGCATCTCCTAATTTCTAATCTATTATTAATTGATAGTGCCTTGGCCAATTTACCCCTTTACCTTCAGTCTCTCTAAAGGAATTGATAATATACATACAAATACTTGAAACCACTAGAGAGGAGCCTGGCATGGTGACACACACCAGTAAATGGCAGCACTCAAGAGGCTGAGGCAGGAGGATTGATGAAAGTTCCAAGCCAGCCTGGGTTACATAGTGAGATTTAGGCTAGCCTGGGTTACAGAGTAAAACTAAAAGCAAATAAATAAAGCCACCATAGAAATCATCTATTTAAAGGAAGCCTGTAGGGGCTGGAGAGATGGCTCAGCAGTTAAGAGCACTGACTGCTCTTACAGAGGACCCGGGTTCAATTCCCAGCACCCACATGGCAGCTACGAATTTTATATGCATGCAGGGCAATACACTCATACACATAAAATAAAAATAATAAAATATTTTTTAAATTTTTTAATAAATGGAAGCCTATAGTGATTTAAAGAACACTTTTGTGATATTGATAAGGAATGAGTTCTCTATTCAAAGAGCATAGACTTATACACACACACACACACACACACACACACAAATACAGCAGAGAAGGAAAGAGAAAAACAAAAATAAAATTAAGAAACAGTTGTTTCCCAGGCATGGTGGTGCACGCCTTTACTCCCAGCACTCAAGAGGCAGAGGCGGCCAGATCTCTGTGAGATAAGAGGCCAGCCTGATCTACCTAGGAAGTTCCAGGCCAGCTGGGGCTACATGGAGACCCTGTCTCTAAAACCAAAAAGAAATTAATTGCTCATTGTATAAGCAAAGCAAAAAGAGATCAGAGGAATGAGGGATGAGGGACAGTGGGTGGTCAGAAAGGAAGAAGGAGAGAACTACAAACAAAATTATTCTTAAGAATTTATATTTTAAAACACTCAGAAGGCTGAGTCAGGAAGATTACCAGTGAGTTTGAGGACAGCTTGGGTAAATAGTGAGATCTAGGCCATCTTGGACTACAGAGTGAGATTCTCACTATAGCTGGCTCCAGTGTAGCCCTTCAGGGAACCTGAGTTCCTCCTCATCCTCCAGCCCCATCTCTGACTACAGGATAGTACTGGCTCTCTGACTGCACAGCTGCCACTGCCTGGGGTCCAGCACAGCTATCTCCAGCAGCGGCCAGGTACATCAGCCCTGCCACCTGGACACCAACTATGCCCGAGGCTACAGGTGCAGAACTGACAGGCAGACTCTAGTGTTGGGACTTCAGAGCTTGAAAAGGCTGTGTGAATTCTAGATCAGTTGCTGCCATCCCCTACCTGCCACTGGCCCAACAGTCCCCAGGTCCTGTCATGCTGCTGGCCACCAGGCCTTTGTAGGAGTCATGAACCCTTTCCTTTCAAGAGAACAGGGCACGATGTGTGTTCCTATTTTACAGATGAAGGCAGAGCCTGAGATTACACTCTGGCAAGTGGCAATGCCACAGTCTTGTCACATCCATCCCAGCATCCCTGGAGAGCAATAACTGAGATCTGCTGTTTCCTGCCAAGCATTGCTGGGTCCCCATTCACAGCTGAATACCTTAGTCCCAGCACTGGGGATAGAGGGGCAGGCAGATCTCTGTGAGATGGAACCCAGTCTGAGCTACATAGTGAAACCCTTTTTGAAAAAAAGGAAGGAAGGAAGGAAGGAAGGAAGGAAGGAAGGAAGGAAGGAAGTTCAGCCAGGCATGGCAGGGTGCAAGCCTGTAATCCCAGCACCGGAGAAGCAGAGTCAGCAGGATCAGGAGTTCAAAGCCATCCTTAGCTACACAGCAAGTCCAAGGCCAGTCTCAGCTACATGACCTATCTCCAAAAATCCAAAAATAGTAAATAAAAATAAGCTTGACTACTATGATACATAATTGGAATAACAACCACCTCACCTTGAGCTCTATTAATCCAGTTTTATATTCCCTCGCTTAGAGACATATGAAGACTTCAGAGAAATTTCAGAATTATAAAAGGCTTAAAAAATGAGCCAAGTGAGGAAAAATCAGAATGGTTATTGTGCCTCAGAGAACACCAGGAGTGACTCAACAGCCCTCAAGGATATGAAGAAATAGCCATTTCAGTGAGCAGCTGGTCTGTATTTCCACAGCAGGTAATTTTACTTAAATTATTACAGCAAGTATTTCAACATAGTGTCTCACCTAGGATATGTATCATACAAAACTTCCTGAGAAGCCTGTTGTTCACCTCTTCCACCTTTCCTAGCTCAACTCCTCATTACAAAGAATGGGTCAAAGGATAGATAAGGCATCTTTTGGAATAAGACAGAGGCTTCTTTTAAGTATAGCTATGTATAAAATTTGTTGGTAGCCCCTGTAAACCCAATATAATGTTTCTGGTCTAAGAATAAAGGGCAGTAAACAGTCAGATACATGTGTAAACTTGAACGTCCTGTAAAAAGAAACCACTTTTCCTCAGTATGGATGAGTGAAAGGACTTGGATTTAGGGTTGTTTATAAGACTGTGCTAAAATGGCTGATTTTCCTCCAAAAAGAGAAAACTGAACTAGCCTGATATACATACGTGTGTGTGTGTGTGTGTGTGTAGTATTTTTTGAGACAGGATCTCCCTGTAGCCACAGCTGTCCTGGAACTCACTATGTAGACCAGGCTAGCCTCGAACTCACAGATCCACCTGCCTTTGCCTCCCAAGTACTGGGATTAAAGGTATACACCACCACGCCTGGCACTAGCCTGATATTTTTAAAAGAGGAAATCACCTGCACAATGCTAACACCCAGAAGCTTGGCAGAAGGATCATGAGTTTGAAGTCACCCTCAGCTAAACATCAAGTTCCAGGCCAGCATGGGCTACATAATGAAACCGTTTCAGATAAAAGAACAATAGAAAAGGGGGGCTAACTACCTAGATGTGCCTAAACCTGTCTTGTATAGTAATCTCTGAAAAATTTAAGGTTTATGCAGAAATAGATTATAATTCTATTTTATACTATAACTACCCTACCCTACCTCACCCCCAATCCAGTTTAATGCTGTCTGTCCAAAATTGTATTACTTTTGTAGTGACATTTTCTAGTTAATGTCCAGTTTATTCTAAAGCACTGCTGTCTATGAAGGCCTCGTGCCTTTATTCTTCCTTTTCTTTATCTCGCACAAATCTCCATTCTTCCTATTCCCTCAGATATCTTTAGTCATTTCATTCTTCAATAATCAAAAACCTCTTAATTTCTTTAATTCTGTCAGACTCATCTACTTACGACCAAATATCACTGTTAAGTCTCCTTAATTTCCTGATCTTTCAAACACATCATTTTCTATACCATTATTCCATACTGAACTACATTAAAAGTAGCTTTTCTAAGAGGACAAGGTCCCATGTAGATGTAGACTAGGAGACTAGGTTGGCCTCATACTCGCTATATATAGCCAAAACTGGCCTTAAACTCCTCCCGATCCTCCTGAGTCCACCTCTGGAGTACTGGAATTACAGGCGTGTGCCATCAAAAACAGCTCTAAAATTAGCTTGATTTTCCAAATAAAAAATTCCTATTTCCTCTTATTCTAACCATTCCTGAAACTCACTCTGTCTAAGAAACTAGTTGAGAACATATTAAATGAAAACATCCACCCATCAAAAGTCCTAGCTGAGGAACTACTGGCAATTGATAGCTGCTAGGAAAAGGAGAGTCAGTTTCTTTTAAGGGTGTGACGTTGGGTCGGTTTACCAGGCTCCAGGGGGAGTACCAAGGGCATTTGGGGAGCACAAATTAGACTCAATAGGCCTTAAAAACAATAAGAGACAACACAAAGTTGGGGGCTTAGCAAGATGAGGGTAGAGATGGTGAAGTGGATCTGAATATGATCAAAATACATTATATGAAATTCTCAAAGAATCAATAAAAATATTTTTTAAGTTCTCAAGAGTTCAACTCCCTTTCTGTATGCATCAAATCTTATCTGAAAAACAATACAACCTCAGTTGAGGTTTAAAAAATTATGAAAGAAATACCGTTAGCAGAATATGGATGCATCAGAGGATGAGTCTATTATGTATGTGTCCATGCACACATATTACAAATGCATATATGCACATAACTAATATAAATGCATTCTACTCAAATTAGCTCAAATCCACAAGCTTAAAAATCAAATCAAATCTGCTAAACCTGACCTAACCAATGGCTGCTTCCTGTAAGCAGATGCATTACCTATGTGACAAAGTCAGTTGCAAGTTACAAGAAACCATAGACAACCTACAGTGAGCAGTTAAGAGTTCTGCTTTTTTGTAATGTAATACAAATGCAAAACTTATCACCCTAGGACAGTGGCCATGTTGTATGATTTCTGAATAATACCTACCATATGTTCAACACTAGGAAATAGTAAATTTACAACTTAAGGAGGAAAACGGAGGCTTGCTTCACAGTGCTTTAATATGAACAGAGTTGAATATGACATTGTCTGACAGAAGAATGAACAGTTTGCTGAACAAAAGCCCCGAGTCAAGATATATACACAGCAGAAATGGGGCCTCAGAGTCTCAGCACTTGTGCACAATAAAAGAAGAAATCTTTTAAAAAATCTGTAATAGAGGATACAAATCAAAAAGGCAGCAACACACCAACACTGGCAAGGTGGGAAAGGGGGTAGAGCCTCTCTCTAGGGGCTGCTCAGCCCCTGGCACAGGCTCAGCAGATAAAGAGAGCTAAATCTATCTCAAGGAACTTCAACATTTAGATGAGCTCCAAATCCCATGTCAAAACCTAATCCTGATCTCTCTGATCAGGGTCACACCAGAATCAGCAATTCTTTCCCCAAGGATTCCCAAGGATCCAATCCTTCCATGATAGGGAGTCTAAGCCAAGAACCATCTTTCTCCTGGCACCAGAGTTAACTTGCTCTCATCCCACCACTTTGACAGAGAGCAGGCCCCAGCAAACAAACCACCACCTCCCAAACCAAAGCCTAGGGCTGTTGCCAGCCTCAAGAAGCTGCTTTAGCCTCTATGATTTGGGAAATCCATACCCAACTACTAGCCCCAATTCAATTTCTAGGGACGACACTGGAGTTCCATGGAAAACAAGTACAGGCAGCTCAATAACCCTGTGACCAAGCTGGGGAAGGCAGCGACAACTCTTGTCCCTGAGCCCCATTAACAGCTCAAAGTGCTTAGGAGAAATCAGAAACTGTGGTTTATGTGCTTCTACCCTTGGGGCAGCACTAAATGGGATGGGGAAAGGAAAAATGGAAGGAGGAAAGTGGTGTTGCTCTTTCCTCCAACCTAGAGGAACCTACAACATGACCCACTCCCACCATTCAGGGAGTCACCTGGCAGTGGTGAGTTGCTCTCATTCCTCAAACTACAAAACCCCAAAAGCTAACCCATAAAGTAGCAAGGGCTTGGGGAGGAGAACTGCTGGCCCATACAGACTCATCAGCTAGTAAGCAAAAAACAGACAGCCAGAGCAGGGAGCCACAAAGGGAGAGGGGCTAGGCAATAGGAGCTCCCCTACTACCCTATGGCTTTCTTCTGACTTTGCAGTCACTGTGATGACAGGTTCAGAAAATACATACACCCTGTTCCACATAACAGTCTGCTTAGATTCTAGGAGGATTACTGCCATGAAAGGCAACAAGGGAAAGAAAAATCAACAAAAGAAACTGCTGAGAAAACTGGGATCAGGACTAGAAAAAAATGAGAGGTTTTGGGTCTCTACTACCTTCCCCCAAAAGGAAAATTTTCATGCAGGTAGGAAAGGCAAGGATTTCCCCTATTCTGAGCTCTTGGTAAACCTAAGAACAAGAAAAATCCCCTAGACTTGCAGCATCAGTATGTATCCAAGTGCCTTACCAGCACAACCCTCCCTTCCCCCACTGTTAGCCTTCTGGCATGGGTAAAATGCCCAAGAAATTGCCTTCTGGTCCAATCCCTCCCCCACCCCAACCCCAAACAAAGAGCATCTGCCTGTGGTTTCCCACCTCTCTTCAGAGAAGAGGACACTAGCAGAGTGCCCGCACGGTGGAGTCTGGTACCAAAGGGCACAGTGCCAGACAGTCTATCAGGCCAGGGGATGGGCAGCCAACTTTAGATCAAAGAGAGAGAGAGGCTTAGTGTAAAAACCAATGTCATTTCAGCAGGAAAAGTAGAGGGCAAGTGGTGAGAGGACTCCTACTGGCGCACCTTCCCAGGGACGTAGTTCCTGTCAATTGCCTCTTCCTGCAGGAACATGTGTAGACAGCGTTCATTCTGAGCCAGTGGGTGCCCAGCAATTCTATAAAGAGACCAAGATAGCTATCAGTAGTATCTGGGAGAGAGAACTGGAACAGGAAAAGGAATGTGAAGGAAAAGACAAGGTCAGCACTAAGGTTTGAGCCTCTAAAGAACAGCAGTGGGGTATTATCTAAACCATAATATTGTAGAGGGGAATGGGAACAGAAGGACATGGTAGGGGAACCTGAAGTTAAAAGGGTTAACATGCATAACATTCTCAGGCCTTGACATACAGGATCAGAATTCATTCAAAGGAATGGAGTTTTACTGTCCAGTCAGCCAATGACATCATAGTACCTATTGCAAAAAGACAAGGCAGACAAAAATACAGAAAGGCCATGACAGGCTGGGGGTAAAGCTTAGAGGCACGTGCAAGGTCCTGGGATCAATCCCCAGCAAAAGAAGTGAAGAAGGGAAGTATGGAAGGAAGGAGAAGGGGGAGGGAAAGGGAGAAGGGGAGAGAGGGAAAGAGAGATCTCACGATGGCAAAAGCAGTAAGCAGAACAGCCAGGAACTTGGCTTACTTGTTAATAAACTGTTCAAGGCCCTGCCTCCTTTCTTCAATAAAAGACTCCTCAAAGATCCCTTCATCTCCTCGGAAAGGGAGTTGCCGCTTCAAAGCTTTCCCGGGCAGTGGCGGTACTACAATCTGCAGGCAGACGTCAAATATCAGCCAGGTGGAGAGGCCAAGAAAGTGAATGAGATGGTAAAGCACTGAATTTCTCCTTCCTTCCTTCCTTCCTCCCTCTCTCCCTCCCTTCCTTCTTTCCCTTCCTTCCTTCCCTTTCTTCCCTCCTTTCTTCCCTTCCTTCCTTCCTTCCTTCCCTTCCTTCCCTTCCTTCCTTCCCTTTCTTCCCTTCCTTCTTTCCCTTCCTTTCCTTCCTTCCTCCTTCCCTTTCTTCCTTCCTTTATTTTTTGAAACAGGGTTACATGTATCCAGGCTGGCTTTAAACTGTCTATGTAGCCAAGGATGACCTTGAACTTCTGAACCTCCTGCCTCTACCTCCCAAGTGCTATATATCTCATTTCTTTTAGGCCTGAGATCCATCATGCTCCAGGGCCAGCTAAGACCCTAGAATAGTCAGGACGGCTCTGACTGACCTAACACTGTTTAAAATTTACCATCTCAAAAGAAAGGAAATAAACCTCAAGCAATCTTCATCTTCTTTAATAATCTAGCACCATCCATGCATTTAGCTAGGCCTTTCTTGACAGTCTACATTTTAGCACCTATAAGAATTTACTAGCCACAAAGGAAAGTAATACTCAAAAAATACTACTCGACTGGGGAAATGGTGCAGCAGGTAAAAGCACTTGCTGTATAAGCCTGAAGACCTGAATAGATTCCAGGACCTATGTAAAAAAAGTCAGGCTGGGGAGGGTGCAGAGACAGGAGGATCACTAGAGCCTAGCTCTAGGTTCAATGAAAGACCCTGTCTCAAACATATAACGTACAGAATGGTAGAGCAGGACACCCACCCTGCTCTTCTGGTCTGCATGTGCCCATATGCCCATATACCATATACCATATACCCCCCCACACACACAAGTACATGGACACACAAAACTTTAAAATAATAGTTTTTTTGTCCTAAACTTAACTCCCACAAGGTTCAATGCTTAGCTCCCAGACCCAATAATTAGGATTTAGTACATAAAAATGTGTTCACCCTTTCTACTCCCTTCAAGATTCTATGGACTGTGAGCTTATATCCTCTGATCCCATGTAGATCTCCTCCTCCAAGAGTACTAATCAGGGGATGAGCTGTACCTTACTATCACGCTCCAACTCATTTTTCAGCCACTCAAAGTCACTGTAGCGCCGCCGTACACAGGATTCTTTCAGCTTGAAGATAGGTAAGTTTGTCTATAGGGAAGAAAGAATTAAGAGAAGTCAGGTGTTATGGCATGTACTTTCAACACTCAGGAGGTCAGGACAGGAGGATCAGGAGTTTGAGGCCAGTCTGGGCTACACAGTAAATTCTAGACCCTCCTGGGCTACATGGTGAGACCCTATCTCAAAAACAATAACCAACAAAAATGAAGAAAGGCAGTAAATAATATTCAGCTTATGGGAGCAACCTATCAGAACCACTGGACAAGTTTCAATGCAGAAACAGCTCCTATGAGACAGGGGATATAGCACAGTGGTAAAGCACTTATATAGTCTGTATAAATACCTGGATTTGATTCCCACCCCCCCCACACACACACACAGAGTCCTTTGCTGCTTAAAATTAATCTGACAGACTCACAGTCACATGTTGTACATTATATTGGTAAATCGTCATTTACTGTTCCAGCTCACAAGGGTTGTCATTTCAGATGCAAGCATGTTTGTCTTAAAGAGCTCTCCAAGGCCCCTTGTCTGGGGCTGAACTTATCCCCTCTAACTCTATGATAGGGAGGGAAGAGAACAGCAAAACAGCCCAAGAGTGAAAACACTGTGTCCTTAGCCGGGCGTGGTGGTACACGCCTTTAGTCCCAGCACTCAGGAGGCTGAGGCAGGTGGATCTCTGTGAGTTCAAGGCTAGCTTGGTCTACACAAGGAGTTCCAGGCCAACAGGGGCTACAGATCATCCAGGGGCTACAGGGAGACCCTGTCTCAAAAAAAATTGTGCCCTTGAGAAGAACTAGAAGGTAAACTATTTCCAATACGTTTACCCCATGATATAAAGGGCTTGCAGTGGGAAAGAGACACCAAAACAGAAGTTCAGCCATGGGAAGTTCATCCATGGTGTAAAAGCTCAATCTGGAACTCCAACTGACTGCCTAACTTCCCCAGTTGGTTTCTGCTGGATGCTATAAGCACCCAATTCCATGAAGTTACCATTCTGTTGCTGTTTTTACTTGGAAGCCTCACCCAAGGGGACACTGCCCTGTCTGGAACTTTCTATCGGGAACTCCAGCTGGCGGTCTTAAAGGGGCTTCCCCAATCGATTTCTGCTGGATATTTTGAGTGCTTGAATTGATGATGTGTTCTGCTATCTATCTCTTTTGGTTTTTTTTTTTTTTTTTGGTCTTTTTGAGACAGGGTCTCCCTGTAGCCCCAGCTGCCCTGAAACTCACTATGCAGACCAGGCTAGCCTTGAACTCACAAAGATCCGCCTACCTATGCCTCCCAAGTGCTAGGATTAAAGGCATGCACCACCATGCCTGCTGCTATTTATTCTTTTACTTTGGCTTGCTATATACTTAAGAAACTCACTCATTCAAAACTGAAAGCATGGCTATTAGATCATTCTCTAGACCACCAATGTATGCCTCTCTCTGCTTTCCTATTCCAATCTTTTCTAGTCTGTAAGTCCTAGCTCAATTCTTACTTCACTCAGAAAAATCTTCCTGGCAATACCAACTGGATATACTGTGGTCTTCCTTCCCCTCTGAACTCCTCTGACATTTATACTTTTTTAGAAAGGATCTCTAACCTAGGCTAGCTTTAGCTCCCTATGAAGCTGACCTTGAACTTTTGGTCCTCCTTCCTTATGCTGGGATTACAGGAGTGCACCACCATGCCCAGTTCTTGCAGTGCTGGGACGTGAACCCAGGGATTGATGTATGTTACGCAAGCCATTTACCAACTGAAATACACTCCCATCCCTACCTCTAAGATAGGGTTTTGCTACATAGCAGAGGATCACCTTGAACTTCTGATGCTCTTACTGCCACACTTTGTCATCAACCTGTCACATTACTGGGTGTTCTCCAAGCTGTTTTATACATATGTGTGTTGCCTTCCTAAATTATGATCTTAAGATCGACAACCTTGAAAACTTTTGCTTCTCCCAAAATGTAAGCTATTCAATACTCAATTACTCAATAGAAACTCTATGCATCTTTTTATCCCCTTACCTAAGAAATGCAGAATGAATGGCCATTATTAAGCTTAGCTTACTGTAGCTTACCCTGATATAAATGACTCATTCCTACATCTTAAATCATTGAGAAGACTCCCTTGGGACTAGTGGCAAGAGAAACCCCCGACAGAAAAAAAATCTTCACTCCTGTTTACAAGTTCTAAATGGAAATGGCCAAACACATGTATTCATATAGAGCATATTTCTTGCCAGCCAATTAAGACCAGTGAATGGGTAATAAAAGGAACCACTACTTTTTTCTATCCAGCTGCTTCTTGGCAAGAAAAGAACATCTTGGAAGAACATCTTGGAGTTCTTCTAGAGCTTCACACATCAATCTCTGCAGTCCTCAAATCTTGAAACTGTCTTCCCAGCCAAATAACTGGCCAACTGACATTAGTTTCAACTCTATCCAAAATCTTCAAGGTCCAAGAAATATCAATAGATTGAAATGAAGTTTGATAAATATATATAGTCATACAAATGATTCTTTAAAAGAATAAACAAGATGGAGAAGAGAGAGTCCATTTTCTTTAAGGGCGTTTCCCCTGGTAGACCCATCATGCTAGTAGATGGGCCCACACTCAGGAGTACATGGGTTATTTTTAAAGGGAGGACTTGAAGTTTGGGGGTGTAGAGAGGTGGAGGGAATCTGAAAGGAGTTAGGAGGAGGAGTGGGGGAAAGTATGATTAAAATACATTTTATGAAATTCTCAGAGAATAAAAAATTTTTTTAAAAGAATGAACAAGAAATTAGACATGGTGGTTCAGACCTGTAATCTTAGCACTTGAGAAATAGAGACAGGAAGATCAGGAGTTCAAAGTCATCCTCAGGTACACAGAGAGTTTTGAGGCCATCCTGGGCTACATGAGACCCAGTCTCAAAACAACAACAACAACTAAAGAATAAATAAGAAACTGGGGGCTGGTGAGATGACTTGGCAGGTAAAGGCATCTGTGACTAAGTCTCACTACCTGAGTTCAACCTGAATATGATCCCTGGGACCCACATGGTAAAAGGAGAGAACTCCTGAAAGCTGTCCTCTGACACACGTTGCCCCCCTTTACCTCCACAACATACACAAAATAAATATGTAAAAACGTAATTTAAAACATTAACAAATTTGGTAGGGCATGGTGGCACTCGCCTTTAATCCCAGCATTCAGGAGGCCTCAGGAGACTGAGGCCAGCTTGGTCTACATAGTGAGTTCCAAGCAAGCTGGGGTTGCAAGGAGACCCTGTCTCAAAAAGAAAAAAAAAATTGAAAACTGGTTTCTTCAAAAGAGAAACCTCTGGTGGCAGCATATGGAGATTTCTTTTATATAGTGTATCTTCTGGATTTTGTACTATGTACGTGTATTAACTGTTTAAAATAATCCATCAGAGGGGCTGGAGAGATGGCTCAGTGGTTACCTTAATCCCAGCACTTGGGAGGCAGAGGCAGGTGGATCTCTGTGAGAGTGAAGTCAGCCTGGTCTATATAGCAATTCCTGGCCAGCTGTGATGTCCTTCCATCTCAGCACCCAAACATCTAAGAAAGAAGCTACTACACAGATATTCCTGAGCTCCAAACTACAAATCATATGAGGAAGTCAGAATTGTGTAATGTAGGCTATTGAGGGTCTTTTAGCTCTGATCAGCACAAAATAAAGGAGACCCTGTCCCAAAAATACAAAGAAAGAAAATTCTCAGAATCTCCTAAGAGAAAAAAGACCTTTGGTATTATGTGAATCTAGATTTCCATTGGAGTTCGTTACAGATACTGTGTTCCCCAAACTAGTAGGCTTTCACAGAAGCCAATAAAGGACTAAACAAAACAAATTCTGAGCAGATTCTTCCAAGACAGCAAGATTAACTACTGTCATTTTGTTGACTTCATTTGACTAAAGAAAATTCTATTCTTCATTACCCCAATATGAAAATATTGTCCTTCCATCTCAGCACCCAGCCACCTAAGAAGCTACTACATATAGTCTTGAGCTCCAAACCCATACGAGGAAGGCAGAATTGTGTAATGTAGGATATTGAGGGTCTTTTAACTCTGATCAGCACAAAATAAAGGGAGAGGAGAGAAACAAAATTCAAGTCCACATCTGAAACACTACACACACACACACACACACACACACACACACACACACACACACACACAAAATCATGTGAGTTCACTATGGCACTTCCCTAGACTCCTCATGCAGGTAGGACCCATTCCTGAATAAAATTAAAGAGAATAGCTTCATCAATATTTATTATATGGAGCTGAAGGTATAGATCAATGATAGAGTGCTCAGTATGCATGAGGCCTGGGTTCAAGCCCCCACACCAGAGAAAATAAACACAAATGACTTTATCAATTTTCCCCAAAACTGGAGTTCAATAAAAATAGTAAAACCCTACGCACCTATATAAGTTAATACAGACAAACTGACTCAACCCCACAGAATGAGGAACCACCATCAATCAATTCCATCATCATTATATAATTAGAAATTGTAGGACTGATAAAAAGCTCAGTGTACCTTCTGCATACTGAAGTTTTGCAACTGAGCCTTGAGAAAGTAATGGAAAGAGCATGGACTTTGGGATCAAAGATTTGGATTCAAATCCCAGCCCTGTCTGATACAGTTATATGTACTTGAGCAAATTCCTAAACTGCATGCTTTCTTGGTTTCCACTTTGTAAAATGTATACAGAAACTCAAAACCAAGTTCAGTGCCTGACCCACAGTAGGAACAAGATGGACAGTCTTTGATGTTATTAGAATACCCAAAGGAAAAAACTATTTCATTCATAGTCCCTAAGGCTCTTAGGTAATGGATCAAGACAAAGTCTCCAAAACCCCACAGCAGTCTTTATGCTGAACAAGTTACAGGTAGGTCCCCTCAGCTAATTAACCCCTCTCCCACGAACAATTCTCTTTTATCATATTTTGAAGAATCTAAATTCCATTCTTCTCCAAAGAGAGAGTTTCAAATAGTTCTTAACTGTGTAAGACAAGTGTTTCTCATGCTTTGCTATTTACTTTTTTCCCTTTGTTTTGGACTTTGGCTACACTTGGAAATTGGAGAGCACCATCTCTCAGATTTCAAAGCACAGGTAGAACACACATTCTCATTCATCTAAAAATGAGAGCACTGATCTTCAATGCTGTTTGAGGAGAATACTGTTCACAAAGAACATCCTGGATCTCTAGACTGAGAAGAAATATAAGAAAAACTAGAAAATAGTTCTTAAAATTTTTGACCCATAACCACTTCAACTGAGCCAAAATACCTGCAAACCATGTACTCTCTGTGCACATTCCATCCTTGCACTATGGACTAAACACTGTGGACTAAGAAAATAAAGTCCTCTGTGGTGCACATTGGAAGAGGCTACTCCTAGAGCAGCTCTGAAATGTCATGTATTAAGGTAACTACAGACCAGAGACAGAATCCAAAAGATTAATATGGGCTAGAAGAGGCATATGGTCCTTCATATACAGAGAACTCAAGTTTGAGCCAATGAAAATTGAAGTAAACATTTTGGATACTTCAAATCTAAAGGATCAGCAGAGGATGAGAGCAGCAACTGACAATTCCACCAATCCCAGTGCAGGGCCAGGTTTCACGTGAGACACAGTATTGTGGTACCTGAGAAAACTTAAGCATAAAACATTTCTCTCCTTCAGATGTTAATCTTAAAAAAGTCATGGAAGCACTCAATCTCGAGATTTCCTTTAAACTTCTGCTCCCACAATTCAGAGGTCTCCCTTTCCTAGACTCTAACTTCACTTTAACCCAAGGTTTTGCTTAACTCCATCATCCCAGAGAGACCTCATTCGGAAGAAGCCGGGCCTTTCTGCCCTCCCTCTTAGAAACGACTTCCCATAACCTAGTTTAGTTATACGGGACCCAGCGATGTATCGCGACTTTCCATCCCTCAGCCTTCCATCACCACTCCCTTCCGTCCTTCCGCCAATTACGATTCCTATCTAGTTGAGTTCCCTACTAATCTTTGTCCATCTTCCACACCCTGCCTCACTTCACTTCTTCCTCTGAGTACTTGTTTTCCCTCCCCCCCCCCCCCCGCCCGAAGTCCCTCT